ACGAAAAACAACCCACACTGTTCGCTGAAGTCCACAGGCGAGTAGTTCGTTCCTGAATTTACTGTCAGGAATAGTCCCGAAAGGCTGCCACCAATTTTAATATTACTGCTGTGGTGTAGTGGCCGAAACCGCTACAAAAAATCCTCGTTATGATATAGTGTTGAAATGAACTTCTAACCCTAGTTATAACAATAACAGAAATTTGAATAAAATAAAAACATTAACAAGTTGCATATTGAGACGATGTGGGACTTGGACACATTCAGCCCCGTAATTTCAGAAATTTGTTAACAGGAAGAATGCTCCATCGCTACTAATATGATACACCAGGAATGATAGCTCTAGCGGGCCGACTTGCCCATAACTCCAGCAGAAAAGTTTTTTCCCCCTCTTCTCAGGAAACCACATTTTATATCTCCCTGTGTTTACTTTCGCTGAACTCCGGGAGGGGGAAGATTCCTTCATAAGTGTCCATCTTCTGATCCTGATGAACCTCCGAGGTTGCAACTGGAATCATTAACAAAGGTGCCCCATTGGACAGGATTTCACCTATGGACTGAAAACTATTGCACTCTGAAATCATTCATTCTAGACAAAGAACCTCTATGCGATCTTATCACAGCCTCCCAAAAGTCTTCCATTGACTTATTTTCTGGTTGCTTTTCTTTATTATTGTGGACTAAAACTCAAAACTGAAAATAAGCGGGATAGATAAGACATACATACATCGCTGCTCTTGCTGTTCAGGCCCAGTCCTACGTAGGAACCTAATATTGCTTCTATATTCACTCCATCAAATACATTGCAACTGCCAAACTCTGCTTTATTAGTTCTTTAAATATATTTATATTTCATTTGAATTATACTTTATCTATTACAACATTCTTTTTATTTTATTCTTAGTTATGATATGTTGTGCTATATATTGTGTATGTAGGACAGCTACAGATAAATACAATATGCTGTTCCTTCCGTAAATTTACGTTTATGACTAATGGCTTTTGTGGCAAAAGACAGGGATTTGTAATACATAAAATAAATGAGTAAATAAATTTACGCTTTTGCAATGTAGTATTTATGTCAGCTGTTCCCAAACTGTGCACCGCGTCGCCCCGGGTAGCCGCGAAATATTGTGAAAGCTTCATAATTAATTTAATTAATACATTTAGCCTAACAAAAAAAAGAGTTTAGACGCTACAAATATCATAATATTTTCTGGGGTTTGTTATTACTTGATAGTGTATAAAAGAATATTCTTGCGAACGCGAGCCGGCTTCTCAATCGCACCCTATGATCGAGCTATATATATCATGGCAATCTAACCTGAGAACACGTACAAGGCTAGAACGACCTTTCCACAGCTAATTCAGTAACTGTGAAATTTTATTTGTATTGTAATATCTTGTTATTTAATAAATAACCATATTTATTGTTGAAGTGGCAAAGCCATATTTGTATTATGTTACCGTTGCTCAGCAACTTGAGAAATTGTTTTAAAATTAGGATTCTGAAGTTTTTACCAGCTAGTAGTAGTATGAAAGTTTTGCCACTAAAGAATTTATATAGAGAGGAAAATTTCCCAACAATTGCCTTTGAACCAACATTGTTCAATTTTGAGGACATTAAAGATTAAGTGATAAGCTAAATGAACAACAGACTCAAGAATTACATGATATGCTGCTGAAGTTTTCAAAATTTTTTCTTATGAAGCCTGGAAAAACTCACTTTAATAACGCGTGATATTTCAATTTGACAGAAAACATCCCAATCCACTGTAAATCATACAGAATGTCTCCTAGACAAACGGAATGTATTAAAAACAGAAATTGATAAAATGCTTCCAGCATAAAATAATTGAAATAGGAGATTCAGATTTAATACTTCTCCTATGATTTTAGAGGAAGTAGCAGGGAGGGATCCAAGACCTTGTATATCGACTATAGAAAAATTGAATAAGTTGACAAAAACACAATTCTTTCCCTTGCCTAACATCGAACAACGAGTAGAAACGGTAGCAGGCGCAAAATATATAACTCTTTTGGATTTAACAAAGGGATACTGGCAAATACTACCTTTAACACCTTGCTTTAACCTGCTCAAAGATTTAGCCACTTTTGTTACAAGTTTTGGCAGATACGGATTTATGGAACCTCTACGGATGCTTTTCGGACTTAAAAATGCACCATTTTCATTTAGTAAAATGATAGCCAAAAATCCTTCACGGTTGTGAAAACTTTGCTGTTCTATATTTAGATGACGTGGCAATCTTTTCAAACACCTGGGAAGAACATCTAAGTCACCTGAAAGCCATTTTTTCCAAAATAAAGGACGCTGGTTTAACTGTTAAACCAATAAAATATAAATTTGCTCAAGATAGAGTTCAATATCTAGGACATATTCGTCGTGGTATAAGAATACCAAGTGAAGTGAAAGTAAGAGCTATTCTTGATTTTCCAGTACCATCAACAAAAAGTCAAGTCAGAGCATTTTTAGGATTAGCAGGATGTTATAATCATTACATTCCCATGTTCTTATCTATAGCAGCACCTTTAACAGAAACTTTGAAAGGAAACTTAAAGAAAGGGAAAATAAATTGGACAGAAGGGTGCACAAAAGCATTTAAAGAGCTAAAGGAGAAACTGTCTCAAAGACCTATACTACATGTACCTGATTTCAATAAGGAGTTTATTTTGCAAACTGATGCTTCAAACTCTGTTATGGGTGTCATTTTAGCTCAGAAAGATGAACGAGACAATGAACATCCAGTATTATACCTCAGTAAAATGTTTACAGAAACTGAAAAATAGTATTCTACCATAGAAAAGGAATGCGCCGCCATAATATTTGCTGTAAAGAAACTTCAGTGTTATTTAGACGGGCATACTAAATTCCTCATCATGACCGATCATAATCCCTTAGTTTGGCTCAAAAATAATGTGAGTCTAAATCCACGACTTATGAGATGGGCACTAGTACTACAACCCTACAATTACACGATCGTTCATCGAAGTGGTAAAAACCATTAAAATGTAGACGCATTAAGTCGTACTCCCTGGCCTGATTAAATAATTTGTTTCTCTATACAGATAAAAAAAATTTTTTTTGTTCCTTCCTCTCTTCCTCAGTGTATGTTATTATGTTATTTCTTATATTTAATTTCTGTATTGTGCTGATATTGTTGTTTTGAAAAAAAACAAAAAAAAAAAAAAAAAAAAAAAAAAAAAAAAAAAAAAAACCGTAAACTTTAATTTTAAAATTAATTAAAGTAAACTTTAATTTATAAAAATATTAATTAAAGTTTATCTGGAGGGGAGAGGTTGTAATATCTTGTTATTTAATAAATAACCATATTTATTGTTGAAGTGGCAACGCCATATTTGTATTATGTTACCGTTGCTCAGCAACTTGAGAAATTGTTTTAAAATTAGGATTCTGAAGTTTTTACCAGCTAGTAGCAGTATAAAAGTTTTGCCACTAAAGAATTTCTTCAAATTATCTATCTCCGTGAACTAGAAATAAAATTTATGTTCTAATAAGAAGATTGCCTGTTTTGTCAATTACTGCAAAATACATTGCAGTATTATTGCTAAATTTAGCTCAGCATATCGTTTGATTCGTCTTTGCGTGTACCGACTTTCAGGGTCACGTTTGCCCCAAGTGATACCTTAGACTTACTAAATTGAAGCTTACTAGTTGGCTGAAGATGCACAGATGATTATTTTGTAACGAAATGCATAACACACGGTGTTAGAAATCTATTGTCATAATTGTACTAATTCTTAATGCTTGTAAAGTGTCATTAGACAGATTACAAATTACATCAAACGAAGAACGAAATGCGGTATTCAACGAAATATTCCTAAGAGGGAAAACCACAGTTTCAGAAAATTGGAAGTGACACCATAGACAGCTTGACTGTAATTTTTTGCCATTTTTTGACTGAATGTGCATTATTAAATAAACGCAAAATAAATATTTAAATTTAAAAAGTACATTAATCACTTTTAAACCTCTCAGCTTATTTATCAGTCGGAGATTAATTAAATTTGAAATAGAAATTAAATATATTAAGATTTTCAGAATTAGTATGAGAATCAGCTACTGTGTAGAAAGGCTGTGGAAAAGAAGTTAAAGGTTTTATGTTATGTCCAGTGACATTTGACAAAACATGTGGTAATAAATGCTATTTTTAGATTCTTTGTGCTCTTCACTTGTCATTTTGAGGCATATATTTGTAGCTTTTATTTCTTTTATTTCGTGATTTTACATATTTTATGCCTTTCCGAGATGCTACTAAATAAATAAATAAATAAAATACAAATTGACTTACTTCAGATAATTTTATTTATAAATTGTCCAAGGCACTGATAATTTTTTCAAAATACAGAGAGTCAATAATACAAATTTTGCCACCAATGAAGATGATGAAATTTCCCTCGATTTACGTCTTTGGAGGAACCATTATTTTACTTTCTTCAAACAAGCGCAAACGATTTCGTCTAAAACTGGTTGCAATAATTTCATTTTTATAAAAGAATGGAAAATGTTTTCAATGTATATTAAAGAAGCCATTTTTAAAGTTCTTTAAACAAGTGCAAACGATTTCTTCTGATATTGGTTGCAATAATTTCTTTTCTATAAAGAATGGAAGATGTATTCAATATATATTAAACTGAGCATACAGTTTCATTGATAGAATTTTTTCATGTAGAAAAGGCTAGTTTTTACGACGATTATTTGGAGAAAACTTAAGTTTCACGATGACATCTGAGTACAAAGTGATAAATAAACAAATAAAATACTTGAAAAAATATATGAACAGTAAAGCAATAAAAATCAATTAACAATTAACATGTTCTCAAATTAGATTAATATTTTACAATTGTTAAGGATAATGACATTTTAATTGGCTTAGAATAATAAGAAATTGTCGCGAATCTGGCAACAATAATGTTGAACTATAAACTTTATTCGAATTATTTGAGTCTTTTTTAAAAGAATTATGGTAATGTAAATGCTATTGACATTGAATGACAAAACGTTAAATGTTGTTTCATCGAACGAGTTACATAAAACGATATGAATGTAAATAAATGAAAATGCTTGAAGTACTTAACGAAATTTTTAAAAGCATTTAGACAATGTAAATATTGTGCTTAATACCACCCATGAATGAAAAGGAAGAAATCGTTTATTTTTCTGTTGAAAAATATTTTAGTAAGAAAAGATGGGAAAGAATGTGTAATTATGAACGGAAAGTTTATGCCAATAAGAAAAGGAATTTTGAGCTGTTACTGTCTTTAGGTGAGTGATATTTAAAGAAATTATTCTTGCCATAAACACAAACACACACACACACACACACACACACACAAAAAAAAAAAAAAAAAAAAAAAAAAAAAAAAAAAATTGTTAATAGACATTTTAAATGTGATGAAATCGCAGTTCATATCTTGATTTATGTGCGAAATATTTGATCCTATTGATGAAACTTTTGTGCGCACTTTAATGTTATGATCTTGATATCATGAAAATTATATTTTTTTATATTGTCGTGTAAACAGTAAAAGAGTAAATTGAAAATTTATAGTGACTTCTTTTTCATGTCTTTCAAATAGAGATCTGGAAAAGAAAGGCATTTGTGATAATCATATACCCAAAAAATGTTTATACATCTAATATTTCGAGAAAAGCCAGCACAGTTTAGACTATTAAAATTTGCTTTACTTTTCTACTTGACTTTGTATTTTAGTTTAACGAACGAACTTTTCATTATTACAATTATGTAACACACGAACACCATCTAACTCCTGGGCAAATTTCACTCTTTCTAATAATAGATTTTCTGTAGATAATGATTTTTTCTTGAATATTTAGTATTTCCCATTGTAAAAATATTCGTTAGAGCTTTATCGATATATGATTCATTATTTGGAAATGTCTAGCACATGAAACAAAATGTTCAGTTCAAGATATAATTTAATAATAACTTCATGCTATCACTTACCGTTTGCTCTTTTGTGCTTGTTGTGTTTTGTGCCGTTTGCTCTTTTGTGCTCTTTTGTTTGTCTGCTTCATTATAAGTTTGGTAAAATATATGAATGAAAGTAGAAAATAATTTAATTTATAGGTATTTTAAATAATGAAAATTGTAACCGGGGAGAGACCTAGAAACATTATATGTGTATATATATACTCCTAGGTTATGATATGTATTAAATATATGTGAAATATAATTACATATATATTATGTATTTTATATATATATTATATGTGTTTCATATATGACACTAGTATATATACAGGTGATTATAAAGTCCCGGACCCATTTTGATATTTAATAACTCATAAAATAATAAAGATATAAACAAACTTATGGCATTTATTGATGGAATAACTTATATATTTTCCTCTTCAGGTTTGAATATCTTTACTTTTGTAAATATAGTCTGCGAGTGTGATTAATTTCAGATAATTTCATTTTCCAGTCTAAATATCTGTACTTTTCTAAATATCGTCTGCTTATTAATTGCATTTTCTCTCTTTTGGTTTTGGCAACTATTGCAATGTTATGTTTACTTTTGATGTGTTTGCTCTAGTACTTTTGTATGTGATGTTTTATTCGACCGGATATTAAGGAGAATGCATACACCACAAGAGAAGGCACAGATTTGATGGTGGTTCATAGAAACGAAATCCATAATGCAAACAAAGAGAAATTGCAGAAGAATTTACCAAAAAGATCCTCCATCCAAAAGCAGCATCTTGCGGTGGAAAAAGAATTTTCTAGAAGCTGGAAGTATCGCAGATAAGAAACGTTCCGTACGTCCGTGCACAAGTGATTTTGATGTTGAGCCTGTCAGAGAGACATTTTTACACAATCCTAGAAGATCTGTGAGATCAGCGGCAAGAGAACTGGATATGTCAATTTCGACGGTGTACGAGGTTACTAAGAAAAACTTAAAACTGCATGCATATAAAGTTCAAATTGTTCAAGTTTTGGAACCGGACGATAGACCTAGGAGAATGGCCTTTGCAACAGATATGCTAAGGAGGATAGAAGATGATGCCAAATTTCTGAAGCGCATAATGTTCTAAGACGAAGCATCCTTTCATCTTTCTAGCATTGTTAATCGCCATAATGTGCGCATATGGGGATCTGAAAACCCCATGAATACCGTGAGGTATAAAGGGATTCCACAAAGGTTAATGTGTGGTGTAGAACTAATGCAAGACCGAGTCATTGGGCCTTTCTTTTTCACAGAAAAGAAGGTCTCATCAGTCGTATGCTCAGACATGTTGGAAAACTTCCACAAACAATTTAGAGAGACACAAACAAGAAGAGCTTCAGCAACATATCGTTTTGCAACAAGATGGTGCACCACCATTGGGGTGCACGTTCATAGTTTGTTGCAAAAATATATGTTACAGGAAAGAGATATGGGCAAAAAGAGGTTCAATTCTTGGTACCCAGATCACCTGATGTAACGCCGCTGGACTTTTTCCTTTGGGAGATTTGTAAAGGACAACGTTTACAGGAGGAGAGTGTCGAACATTGATGGACCTAAAAGCCAGAATTACAACCACAGCTATAGCCTCTGTGGATGCCGACATGCTTGTCGGTTACCTGGCGTGAAATTGAATATCGACTTGATATTCTCCGTGCGACGAAGGGAGCACACGTGGAAGGTCATTGACAAGGATCACGAAAGGTTTTGAGTCTATCTAACCATTTATGTTATTAATTTAATCTATCTTTATTATTTTATGAGTTATTAAACATCAAAATGGGTCCGGGACTTTATAAACACCCTGTATTTCATATATGACACTATGGAAGGAATAATTTTGCAGAAAATATTGACTTTTAATGCACTGGATCAATCAGAAGCGAAGTGGATAAAGCTGCAAAGCATGACAGCTTGCTCGAAGTCAGCTTCTAGAGGTTTTATGAGATGACTGCTTGAGATTTTCCGAAAGAAAAAAAGGGAAATGATTTCATTTAGGAAAAAAAACCGCTTTATGAACGCAGCCTTTCTCTCCGAAGAATATAAGAATATCCAATGACATCATCTGATTGCTTGATAATAGCTTGAAAGTTCAAATCTGGGGAGTTGTTTTGCACAGTCTAGGCTCTGAGGCACATCATCCAACTTTCGAAGCCACAAGATTTTATTATTTGGATGGTTCTCTTTTGCGTTTTTAGTGTAATGTTTTTTAAAACAAAACGTGCCCTCTCCGAGATTCGAACAATGGAGTTTTTGATTGTTAGCCGTATGTTGTGCTTCTAATTACACTATGAAGACACGTGATCTGGACAAAGAACATGCATTGCAATTAAAGTCTAAAACGTCCACATAAATAGTGAAAACTTAGGGAAAATCACTACGCAGTTGACAGTAAAATTGCCCGTGGCAATAAACATGCTAAAAATGCAATAAAGCATTTATTATGCTAGTGAAATAAACCTATCGAGTAATATCTCTATTTAGACTTTTTCTAACCCAGACAGAAGCGGAAATATGCCTTAACTGTCGACAAGTCTTCATTTTTACCCTTTTTACAAATAAATATAAAGGAAATCAAATTTGTGTTTTTCCCTCTCAGCTCTTCCATAAAAATAATTATATAATTTGTATTAGCTTATCTTTCCAATTGTCCTCTCCTAAGAGCTACATTTTAATTGCAGTTCTTTTTATTTCACTTTTCAGCGCGGGAAGATTTTTTTTAATGTCTTAGAAAAATTATGCATTATATTAAAATACAGAGTGACTAAAACATTCTAATTTAATATGGAGGGTGGTTTAAATTGAAGCATGTCTATATAAAACTGGCAATAAACGATAAGTCTGTAAAACTGGCAATAAGCAATAAGTCTGCTGATCTGTCAATTGAAGTTAAAGCATTTACTTAAATTCGGATGATCATGCATGTTCAAGGATGAAATCATTGACTCTATTCTCTCATTTATAAAGAAGTGTGTAAAATTGCAGACTGTGTTGCAGATGAACTGAGAGGATATATTTCTAGGTACACACGAAATGCTTGCTGCGTGCCAGGCTTCGCAGGAACGAGTGTCAATAAATAGTTCAAATTTGCATTTCAAATAAAATTGCACTTCGCGGTAGTCTTAAATGCCTTACCATAAGCTTGAATGATAAGTATGAATAATGATGGTATTTCACTTCTCATAAGCAATATATCTGGCGTATTTTTTAATAATTTAATCTAGTCCTATCCAGTTTCATTACAATAACCTTAGAATCAAATAAATAACTAAAATACAGACATTTAAAAGTGTGCCTGAATAAAATGTTAGGAAAGCTTTGCACAATTTGAAGTAATCGAACAATATAGTCGATTACTTCAAAAGTAAGCGCAATTTGAAGTAATCGAACAATATAGTCGATTACTTCAAATTGCGCGAAATTTAGATTTAGCATTAAATTCAAACTATAGAGTAGAATTTAGAACCTCTCTGTGCAGAAGATATTGAATTCAGATAGGGATTTTGAAGTAAAAAATCATTTCTTCGAAAGATATCCTGTTTAATGACAAATCCTTTTACATCACAGACCCCAAAATCGATTCATCCTCCGCACTGAATTATTTCTATTGTTTTGGCTAATCTCGCTTGTCAGATATCAGAGAAAACCCACGGAATTCATCGAGGCAAGGAGACAAGATCGCGCCCGTTGATGGCAATACCCTTCGGCACCATATAGGGGAGAGTACGAGTTTGTTCAGTTCCGCCCCGAATTTTGAAGGAAAACGCCCTTGGGGACACGAGCCGAGGGCCTTCCACACCCCTCTTCTCCTACCTCATTAACCTCTCGAGAGGACTTTCGGTTCGCAGCATATTTAGAGTGTCCCATGTCACGCGGACACTATACATTTTACAAACATCCATGCCTTCTCCGGGATTCGAGCCCAGGCTCTTCGATACGGCAGTCAAAGTCACTAACTGGGCGGCCTGAATTATTTCTTCTATTGATTAATAATATATCATTTTGAGGTTTTGCTTGGGTTGGTTTATCTGTTTTGGTTATAATTAAATCAGTTTGGAACCTATTTCTACCTAGCCGGTTCACTAGATATTTCGTAAAATATATATGCATGTACGATAACACTGCAATGTTTTCCAGAGTTTTCTTTTTTAAAAAAAATTCGATACGTAATTTTTATTTAACATCGAAGCAATGTTTTATTAATTTTTCCGAACATATTCTAGTTTAACGATAAAATTGATCGTCGCTTTATTTTTCCATCATTGGATAGATTAGAAAAGAATCTTCTGAAGGAGGATTATTCGATATGTGAACTGCAAAATACACATTTTAGGAGAGTCTTCAACCGATCGATAGGGTGTTAATAATCGTAAGTGCTGACAGTAATCGCAGAGCGGGTGGCAATAGTAGATTTTTAAAAAGAAAAGTGTCAGGCTTGTTTTTATAGTCAAATACTGTAGAGAAAGTACAAGAAGACGACATCTTTGTGGAGGTTTTTAAATCGTCAAAACCACAATCAAATACGCTTTAGATGATCTTGTAATGTAGTCAAATTTGTCGAAAACGGAAACATGAAAATTTTTATTGCTTTTGCCGGGATTCGTGTACGTGACCTCCCAGCTATTAGTTGAACGTGTTTCTAATTTCACTACGAAGATATGTGATAATAAGTGAGGAGAATTCCTTACAGTCTTATACTATCGAATATATCGAAATACCTTGAAAGAAAAGCGACTTCAGTAATTTACTGCTAAGTTGATTATAAGAAATAATTTTCGTACGTTTTTTAATTAAATGAAAAAAAATTGTTTTCAAGCTGTCACATTATTTTTCATCATGAATAACTAAATCTAAAAGCATGGTGGTGCTTTTATAAAAGCGTTAGAGAGAACTGACATACATAAAAACTATTAATTTCAATTCATTTAAATATCTTTTGAATAATTTCGATTTAAAACTCGCCCCTCATTATTTAACGCATACAAACTCCCCGCGATCCACAAATATACAACACGGGCCTTATAAAGTAAATTAATTAAAACATTAAACATGACATGCATTAATAAAACAAACAAAAACAGAGAAAATCATTCTAGATTTCACAAAATGTGATAAGTTCACTGGCGAGGTCACGCCTAGCATCTTTAAATTGTTCTGCATTCATAGTCTCGAACCGTTGAAAGTGGGATAGGAAATAATTAAATGTTCTGCTTCTTGAGGTTCTTTTTCGAACAATCAAATATGTTACTTGATCTTAGATGGAAGCAAAACAGGTAACTTGCAAATTTACAGTGACCACATAAAAATTGATATATTTTAAAATTACTAAAGAAGAAAGACTTGGAATATAATCTATGGTTCATTGATGGAAAGAATTTTTTAGCTACTCAGTAGTACAATATGAAACATATTCTTCATTTCACTTAGATAAAAGCTTCTAATAATAAAAGAACTTCCATTAACTCTAATTTAAGGCATTTTTAGCAAAATAAAAGCATTTTCATAAATTCTATGATTACCATGCACATCAGCAAAATGAATATCAGTTCTCGTATTTCCAAGTGAACGACAGCTAAGGAAGTTTGAATTACTTATTTGTTACTGTTGGTATTAATTTTCAAGTGTAGAGAAGGAAAAGAGTCAGAGCATATAAGGTACCTTCAGATTGCAGTCCCATAATTCTTGATCCACTTGACGGCAAGATAAATGCAGAGTTTTGTTTGAAAACCCGTGCATTCTCGTACGGTTTGAAAACCCGTGCATTCTCGTACGGTTTGAAAACCCGTATGAATACGGTATTTAAAAACGCAAACTTCGGATTGGACTTAAAAAAAAACTTAAATTTGAGATCAACCTATTGTTTATTTTACAGTCATCTATAAAGCAAACTACATGCAATTACTTTTCAGCAGTCTCTTTCATAATAGCTGAAATTTATGGGCTCTAAAGAAGCTGGAAGAGAAATTTTCGAGAAGGATACATTTCTGTTAATACAGTCTTCCAAAGCATCAGTTGGCATTGCGTCAAAAATATTACTCATGTATTCAGTTTCGAAACTCCTGAGAAAGCAAAAGTAGTCACATAGCTTAGTTCTCTATAACCACTAATAATACGAAGAAGAATTCTTTCTCAGATTTCTTTTGTAAATCTTCTTTGCAAGAACATGTTCCCAAGCACGAGAGTCATACGAACTACACTGTTTATACTACGTTGGTTTCTTGACTTCATACCTTATTCCAAAAGTGGTTTTTGCAATTCAGTGAAGACCATTAATAATTTTTTTAGCATTCACTAGAAAGTTATTTAGTCGGCTCTTTCTATGTGAAGTTTAGGTCGAGTATGACTACAAGGTTTTTAAAATGTTTTACGAATTCCAAGAGTAAATCATTGAGAATCAAAAAGAGCAATATTTTTTCATCAAAATTTCAAGAAGTTAACAAGATTTTATTTTTAATCGTGTAAGATTAAGGATGTTGTGATTCATAAAAAGAACTTTTTTTAAATTTTTAATGTATTTAACTAAAATCTTATAAGAGTATGAAAACTTTGAACCTAATGCATTGTAATATAAGTACATCCATCTATACGTATATTGAGATACACCTCTGCATTGAGATACACATAAACATACATTTCAACTTCACAGAGTGTGAGAAAGAATTCTTCATACTTCCTTCCTGTTTTGGTTAATTGTTGCTAGTGAAATGCTAGGATTGATTTAAATATTCCATTTATAAGTAAATTTGATAGATAAAGCTAAAATCTTATTATTTTATTTTAGGACTTGAACCTGAAATGCCTGATTTTATGAAACATATTAGAAATGAGAATAAGAAATTCTACCAGCAAACTTTGCAAAGTACATTTAATTAATTTAGTATATTATTTTTAACTTAGTAAATTCTTTCTACGGATGATACTTTATTTGTAGAATTATCTGCTAAAGTATTTCTTTGCTTTCCTTTCAGATAATCGTACGAAAGATATAAAATCAAATCAACATAAAGCATGCCTGGATAAAGAAGTAAATTCTTTCGCAATTTTTTTTCTTTAGACTTGCAGAATCATATGCTTAAAGAAAACTTAAATATTATTTTTAGATATAATTAATTATTTTGATTTTTCTAAATTAATTAATTCTAAAATCTTGCATATAATGTAATGCAAAAGTCATTTAATGTAAATGAATTTAACGAAATACTAAATTTGATTTTAGGTGTATTGGAAGGTGACTTTTATCCTTCATTAATGCAAATCCGTTTTAAAATATTATTCTTGATTTCTTCAAATTTCTCTTTTTAGTTAAAAGCTTCTAGATGTCTCCAGAATATGTTATAAATATTATAATGATCTTATTTTCTTAGCCCCGAATATCAAGGAAAAAATTATTTACTTTTATTATTTGCATTATTGAAAAGTAAGATTTCTCAATATGTTATTCCTAATTATTTGACTTGTCCAAAATTTTATGTAGTAGTATTTTATACAAAAATGCAAATGATTGTAAATTATATAACACTATTTCATGATACCAAAGTGCATCGAATTAGAATAAAATAAACGAAACTGCCTTAAAAGAATTTTATAGCACTTCATTTATTCCAGTATCAGAACTTAAAGTTAGCTTTTACTGCTATTCTTTATATTATCCTTGTTCCTTAAACGCTTATCTAATTTTGTTTTTTGAGTTTAAATAATTATATATTTTACATCCTGTTTAAAAGAATGAAATGTGAAAATTAAATTAACGTAAAGTAATGCTGTGTAAATATTTGAAAAATCATGAAAATATTGCATAAATACTTAGCTCTAATAATTCTGTAGAAAACATGTCTTTATTTTAATACAATCTTCAAAATTCTTCAAAATATGTCTGTGGAGAAAGTGTATCCTTTATTTGTAGAGAATTTAAAGTAAGATATTCATTCATATTTTCAAAATATGCTAGTATTATCATAAAAACTAAAATACTACCCATTTATAAATTGCATTTTTCTGAACTTCAAAAAATCTGATGTGTACACCACATCCTTGTACGGAATATTAAATTATACGCATTTTTTCTTGCCTTTCCTTTAAACTTATTCGATTGAATTAAATCTACTTCGCCGCACGCATAAACCACAATAAATAAATCATTCTTTAAAATTCCTCTAGGTTTTACCATAGCGACACTTTGGCGCTAGATTCATTAACAGTATAATAAATATATAACAGGTACTTAGAATAATTATATAGGAAGTAGTTAATTTCGTTCAATATTATGACTCATAATGCAAAAAATTTATATCATTTAAAAGAAATATCTATCGTTGCCACTGTTCATCAAATACTATAATAAGCTACATGATGTAAAAAATTAGAAACAAAACAAAAAGAACATTTTTCACCTACGATTGAGTTTTCTAATTAATTAATTCCTTCTCACTTCGCGAGAAGAAAAATACATAAAACTCAAACTTCTATATTCAAAATACGAATAAATCTTAACACTTATTTCTGAAAAATCACGAGAATTAAGCATATTATTACATATACATGAATCCTTATCTATTGTTGCGAAGCTAATTCTCTAATTGGCACAATCCCTAGTCTCCTTTTCAACGTTAAAATCAATGCCGCATTAACAAATCTTGCGTACTGACACTTTAAATTGTGATAATTTCTAAAATATGTATACATATTTACAAAGCATAAAACCTAACCGATCAGGACTTTGTTCCTCTTTACTGCTTGAACTGATCGGAACAGGGAGCGTACTCAAGCTATGTCATAAATGGTGAAGTAACAATCACACAGAAGGTATACTAACCCTTTATTTTCTATCTTACAGAGATTTCGGACTTCGGAATCAGAGACAACCCTTGTGGTCTGAGGCGTAGAATATAAACTACTAATAAAACTCTAATAAACTACTTTGATTATATACAGTGCCTCACTTTAAGATTGGCGTATTGCCAATCCGTATGTTACAGAGGCTCTAAACTACATACTTGAACTTATCAAGAGGACTAAACCTCTGGCCTTGAAGGCACAGCAACCGGTAAAACTACTATGGCCGCGGCCTGCTTCTAATACTCTTCCGCTCTCTGCTTGGCAAAAAGCACACTTAGTACTTGGCGTTAGCAACAGTTTTTGCAAAATAATAGAGCTTTAATTCTGCCCGAATAGAAAATAGAAGTGATAGTAAAGATTTAAAAAATAAACGTAGTAAACTTAGGATCCTTACAACCGAATATAAAACAACATAATACAATCATTTTAAGCAAAATTACAATTTACAAACAATCAGTACAGAACTGAGACACTGAGCCTGTAACAGGTGGATATATATATATACTATATTATATATTATATATTTTGTGGCGGCCGTTGCCACCAAATCTAGAGTGACATCTACTGTTATAGCTGTCCTATATACAAATTTCAACGTTCTGAGGCTACTCGGGGATGAGTTGCGAGATTACTTACGTACATACGGTTCGTACAGACCCACGAAAACGTCTCTCATATTATTTTAAGCAGTTTATATTTTTTGAAGGAAAGAGTATTTTTAATTTGTCCTTACGTACAGATTCAGCAATAACTCGTTAATGCATTCGATAGCGGGTCAAATGGATTTTGTGAGCTTTCCTGAAACTTTCGCGATTCAATCTTCCTTTTTACTTCGTACAAGGAAGTAAAAAAAGTCATGTAACATATTTTAAAATAGGAATAGGTTTATCAACGCGGAAACAACGAATTATCATTTACAGTTAGAATTAAAATGTTTATTACAAAGTCGAAGCTTTGCTTGACTTAGAAAATAAAAAATCTTTAAATGTTAAAACTATAGTTAACTCTCACTGCTTTAATTTTTTTTAATTACTCTCTACTCAAATCTAATCATAGTAGTTTAAGCTTTCCCGCTTGCTTAAGAAAGCTTATGTTGAACAGCAAACGTGAATCACGATTTTATCTGTTAAACTGGATTCCTTGAACTTAAATAGTAATTAAACAAACAAAGAACCTTATATTTATGCAAGTGTACTATTTTGAAAAAAAATTATTTTGACTTCGCTTATTTTCATATTCTCAATCTTGAGGTCTATTTTTTAACTTCAATCAAGGTCTCATGACTTTTTTTTTTTTTTGTTTGTTTGTTTCTATAATTTAAAAAATTTTCTTCGCTTTACAGGGAATCAGAGAGCAAGATAATAACAGTGTTTCAGGTTTTCAGAACTCTCCTTCAGCAGCAGAATATTTCAAAAATATGATTCCAAGAACTGAAAGCCATTTAGAGAATTTGACTTCTCTGAGTGTATTATTAGAAAAACACATAAAACAACAAGAAAGTTCTGCCGTCTAAATAAACGAAATATTCTATTTTTAAAATGCGTTACTTGTATTTAATAATTTGTGTACATATCACCAGGAATGAACCAACCTTTTAAAAATCAACATTCTAAGCAGGTAAAAATGTCTGGTATATAAACTCCATGAATGAGGTTTAAACTATCCGAAGATAAGAACTTCACGAGCATTTTATGAAATTAACTTGAATTTAAGTGCATATTTTAGAACTAAGTGATACAATTACTGTCTTTCCTTTTCTACATTAACTAAAATCTAATTTTAGATGTAAAATCTTTAATAGAAAAAGTGTTTTTTACCATTTATGAAATATGCTTTGTTAATTTCTTTCTTTTATCTAAGAATCTAATAAATATTACAATATATTCTTTTTTAAAAATTTCACGAATTCCAACATATCGACATAGGATGATAATATTTTATATATATTATTTAAACTTCAGGTAAAAATTCAGCAATCTCTCTCTAAGATGACAAACTATTCCTCTAAAACAGGGTTTCTCAACCGGTGGTACGCAAGAAAAAAATAGGTGGTACGCAAAGAAGCAAAGTATTTTTAACTATTAAATTCAAAAATTAGAACTACAACATTCTGATTGAGATTTTTTCTCAAACACTCATAAATTTATGCCATCTGAGCTTTGTTCAAGAGGGGTGGTGGTAATAGTACGTTGTAGTGGTGGTACTAAAGGTTTTCAATAGCAATTGTTAATTTGCATAAGGATTTACTCTTATTTCATTCAAGTTACTTAAGGTTCTTAGAACCTGTTAAAGGAAAGTACTGAAAGAGGAGTACAGTTTATTCATATATTAATTCCTTTGTTTCAATAAAATTACGAATTCATTGCAAATATAAGTAGTGTAATGTTGCGCGCTTCCAACCTGCACGCAACAATAGTGGTGACTGCTGAGAACTGGAAAGTAGACAAAGTCTTGAGAAGGGTTTAAATACCTTTTTATTCAACTTTAGAAATTACAAATGCGTGCTCTTGACGCTCGCAAACTACGCCGACCCGGCGGTAAAATAAAAATAAGAAACTAAAAAGAGATAATAACAAGTGACTAACTACGAGGCTCTCTATACGTAACTAACCTCACCGCGTTCTAAGATACCGCTGATAATTCAGCAAACTTCTGAATATTACGTTGAAAAATTAACAACAAGAACTTAAACGCGAAACGCGTGGTTCTTCAATTTCTAACTAACCACCTCCACGCTCGTGCAGCAAGAAACACACTTTCGAACTCGTTTCCCTTCTATTTAACTCAGATTACTTCCGCTGACAATTTGAATCCTTTGCGCGTTCTACTAAAATTTACATACTCTGGCATTGGCAATTCCAGGGGAAAGTAAGGCTTAACAGGAAAGATAGTTTAAAAACTTAAAATAAATATTAGTTTAAAATAAATATAAACCCTACATTTCCCGCTGCCAGAATTTGGAAAACTTGGAAGCAGGTCCTAGAAACGACCTAGTTGAAAAGTTTCCACAATTCTGATCTAAATTTTAAGAGCCTCGTTGACATAAAAAAAAAAAAAATCTGTTTGTCTCACAAAAGGTAGAACAAATTTCTGTAGATACTTATTTAATTCTCTCTTCTTACAGCAACCTTTCCCGGACTTCAGCAATCAATCTGTTCTCTTCCTTCCAGTATCTGGAAGGAATAAGTATCAGTATCTTTCTAAATACATTATAATTTACACTTTCTTGACACTGAATAAGTTTTTGTTTTTGAACGATTTATTTTCCTTAGTTACTGCTTAATTCACATTCATTCAAGTATTCAAACATGAATTTAACTTTACCCTGGCTCTCCACCATGTGTGGTGTCAAACGGGAATATTCGTGTTTTAGTATTGCAACACTTCTCCTAACCACAATGATTTGTTAGAATTCAACGACCAAATAGACACACCTTACTCGACATTATACAAGTCGATGAGCTACTTTAACATTCTTAAAATTCAAGTGTAGGTGGAGAACATTACAAAACACATTCATTCTAAATTCCCCCTCATTTATCTATAGACATGCAGGCTTTCGCTCTAAAGCATGATTTTATCTACAGTTTAATAATTAAATTTGAATTCATTGCTTTTGAGCATTTACTTTTAGCATCTAAAATTTTATGCTTCTAGACTAAATTCTACTTTTACATAACTTTCAAGCATTTACGTATATTTACAAAATTCTAATACATATGATTTTTACAATTTACCATAAAATGAATAAGAGAAAAATAAATTTTTACTTTACTCATTCTTCGCCAAGCTGGAGGCACTGAAACTAAAGTTGTTATTAATACAAGAATACGAAGTTATTTTTATCTTCGGCCAAATTTTGGCTTTAACATAAAAGAATTAGTCTTTCGACCAACAGAAACTGCTTGTTCCTAGATTTTATACTTAAAGAAAATAATACTTTTGCCTTAGCTAAATAAAGTAAAATAAAAGTAAGTCTCAACCGAGACAAATTGACTTTCGTCAAAACATAGAACTTCGTATTTACGCATAACATTTCGGAACAAAAGAAAAAAAATGTTATAGAAGATTTTAACTTATCTTTGAGTTTTCGATGATTGTAACTCCGACATTCTCTTCTGGCAGAACTGCTCCCATGTTATAGATTTCATTGACGTCAGTCGTCTCCTTAGGGTCCTTCGAGTGTCGTCCACGTTGCTTCTTCTTTTTCGCCCTCTGCATGCTGGCCTCTTGGAGTGGTAGTCGTCGGGTTGCTGTCTTTTCCGTTTTGCCCCTGGACGGCTGGTCTTGGCGTCCTCCGGTCTTGAATCGTGCTTGGATTTCTTCTGTTGGTGGTGGTCTTTTCGTTCCTTCTGCTGTCTTTTCGTTCCTCGGGAACGGCGGCCTTGTTTGCACCTGACTTCTCTGGCCCTGGGAAGCGTTCTCCTCGATGTCAGAATTTCTACTGCGATACGTTGTAGTAGTGGTGTTTTCCTCTTTACCAAAGATTTCTTTACGCGGCGGCTTTGCTTTCTTGTATTATCTTAAATGCTGGAGTCTGAAAGTTTTTCGTTTCTTCTTTTCGGTACCGTCGCATGGGTTCTAGAACGGGCTAGGTTTCTCTTTCAGTTCTCTGCTTCTTGGGTTGTGGAACGGGTGACGTTATTTCTGGACCTTCTACTTCATTTACGCTTGAGTCCTGCAAGAAACTTTCAAGGATTTCAAAATCATTTTGATTATAATATTTTTCACCTGCTCGGGACTTGCTTTACAGATTTCCCCTCTCTCGTTGTTAAGGTACAATACGACTCCCTTGATTTCCTGAATTACATAGGGCCTTCAAATTTTGGAGCTAACTTTGCAGTAAAATTGTCTGGGGCACTTGATAAAGAAAATTTCCGCTTCAACACTTTATCCCCAACTTTAAAATCTGCTTCACGGCGTTTCCGATCATAGTACAGTTTCTGTCTATTTCTTGCCCGTATCCGAACTTTTAACCGCCTGGTCACTGAGTTTCTGTACATCCTTTCGTTTGAATTCTTGCTCTCTTTGTTACACAAAGAATAATTTATATAATTGGCGTAATTAACTTCCGTCCTAAAAATAATTCTGCTGGAGTTTTTGCCGTAGTATCATGATTTTCTGTTCTTAAAGCCATAAGCTAACTCATTTAAGTAGCCATCCCAGCGCTTGTGATGTGTGCTAACCATAACTTCGAATTATTTTACAATATTTTTATTAACTCTTTCTGCGATGTTTGCCTGTGGTCTATACGGAACGATTTTGATATGGCATATGCCAAGTCCAGTGCAAATGTTTTCAAATATTTGGCTAACGAATTGTTTACCGTTATCGCTATGTACTTTTTTCGGTGCACCGTATTTATTTAGAATGTATCTGTGTAAGAATGCATCTGCGACTGTTTTGGCTGACGCGCGTTTAAGTGGAAGAATTTTCTGGCCATTTTGAAAAATGATCTACAATTACTAAAAGAAAACGATTTTTATTTAACTCACTCTGGGGGAAAGGACCAAGAAGATCTTTGCCTAAAATTTCATTCGGAAATGTAGCGCGAATGTATTTAAGTACCGGCCGGGCTGTAATTAATATCATTTATTAACTGACATTTATTGCAGGACCTGACATACGCAGTTTACTATTTTGTATATTTGCGGGAAATATACCGCTTCGCGTACCCTTTTTAAAGCCTTTCTGACCCCTAAATGACCCGCTGTTTTCGCGTCGTGTAATTCCTCAAAATGCTTATACGAAGCGAGGCTGGGATGACTGGTTTGTATTCCGAGATTTTCGTTTGTTGTTTTCGTATAAAATAATAAATTATCTATTATTTCATACTTTTCTGCTCTATTTCTTATCTCATCGATATCTGTGTGTTCAAAGCTTTCGGGGTCTTTCAAATACGCATAGATACTTCCAAATTCAGGATCAGCTTTCAATTCAGCAATAATTGTATCTCTAGAGTCTAAAATTTTTTGAAGTCAACACAGCGTATTTAAGTTCATTGCCTTCATCGTCCAGTTTTATACGAGAAAGTGCGTCAGCTACATTGTTTTCCTTACCCGGTTTATATTTGATTATGAGATTATATTCTTGGAGTTTTAAAGCCCATCTTATTAACCTGGGGGTTAGGTTTTTCCCCGAGTAAAGTCTACCAACAGCCGCATGATCAGAATAGGACTTAACAGACAGCGGCGGTTAAGAGATTGGCCATTATTTCGATTTCGACTATAAAACAGCAAGAGAGGAACATATGAGGGAAAAGAAGTTCGCTGCGATTGTGACTAAGAAATTTTCTTAATAATCCCATAATACCAAGCAGCCCAACTCTATAAGCCAATGATACAAAGCAGGCCAGTTTTATGAGCCAATAAAACCAAACAGGCCCTAATCGAAAGGTGCTGTCACTAAATTATTGTGAAACGAATTCAATCTGATTTCATGATGTCTGAATTTTCGAATATGGGTACCTGATACCTATTTTAAAGATACATTCACGCTACTTTTTTAACGTAGTGCCTTTTAAGAAAAAAGAAGGGGGT